TGTTGGGGGTAGGGGGAGCTGTTAATAGATCAGTTGCAAGGGAACTGAACTAAATACCAGCAGGTTGTAGCCTGAATTCTAACTGTGTGTGTTTGGTCTGTGTCTTTGGAAAAATGACATGATAGTTTACTGTTCATGATCTGTATCATTAGCGTCTGGTATTCAGTGCATCTTCTATCAAGTGATAAACACTACGATACTGTATTTCCATTGCTGCGGTTAAATAAAGCCTGCCATGAATAGCAACTTTTCTCTTCTTACTACTTATTCCATATCTCAGGTTACTGTGCAATGAAGTAGCTTTTATACAAATGCAGTGCTGGGGGCAAGATGCAATACTGATGAGAGACCCCGGTCTGGGGTAGGAATCGGTGCTTAGATGCAGGTAATCACTCCGCTGCTCTGGAGAAAATAAGCTGAGCGGATGGTGGTGCTGGTGGTGCTGTTGCTGTACCTCCTTTGAATCGGCTCTGGCAATTTTGGCCATGCTGACCTTGAGCCTGGGATTTTCTTGAACGTTATCCTGCGCTACCTAAGGATACCCACGGCCCCTGGATATGTGACAGTTCATATAACAAGAAAATTCTGCTGTCCCTAGGGGCAGGGGGAAGACAATAAAAAATGGTACAAAGCCTCCTGTGAACTGGTGTATAGACCACACTGCAGCTCTTGGCGATTCCTGTTGGCAACTAATACAACCTGGCCGTAGAGATCTGGATTTGTATGCTACAGGAAAGTTGGAAAGATCTCTTTAGTCTTCCATGGTGCATCCCCTTCTCCGCTTGCTTTTCTAAAATTGCTTTGATACTATAGGTGGGGAAATGTTACAGAAGTGTTTTCTCTGAAACTAGCAAAACCTATTCTGAGGAACTAAGTGGAAGTATGATGACAGATACATTCTCTCAAAGCCACTGTCTTCTGATACATCTGTATGCTCTGTTTCAAACCGCTCACCCTGGAGTCAGATTATGGAGTATTATAACCTGTGATTTCAGGAGGATAATAGCGTTACACTTGGTTTTTAGAAAAGTTTCCATGATTAGGGACTCTAGACGTACTAGGCCAAGTTTAAATACACTTTAGAAACTTCTAAAGGTACTGATGTGACCCATATGGATGATGATGATACTGTGTCAAAAGATGCCTTTCAGTGCTGATACGTGAACTTCACGCAAGTGATTAAAAAGAGCTTTTCTAGCCAGAATCCAGTAGGATGGGAATCTGTATTAGCAATTTCACTGCATTTTTTTTTTTTTCAATTTGAGCATCTGGCTCTCAGGTTTTCATGTTACAAGGAAATACCCACTCCTCCTACTCCAGGCCTGTGTAGCTGTCTCAGCAACATCATTTTTGCTAACTCAGATCTGGTTTGTCATCTATCGTGGTCTAGTCGTGCATGCAAAGATCTTTAGAAGCATCCCTGTGAAACATTAAAAAAACCCCCAAAATTGCTTATTCAACGCACATTTTATCCTTTTAAACTGCTGTGCAGCACTTACCCTGAACTTAATTACTGAATTGTTCATGATTTATAAAAGCTAAAATAGGATTAAGATAGCAGTTTAAAAAAGGAAATTAAGCTGCTTGATCTTCTGCAGAGAGCTGAGAAACCCATGCTTTTGTCTGAGGCTGTAGTAAAAACATTTAGTGCTTGACTTGGAAAAGGTCTGTGGTTCCAGTAGTGAGCTCCAGAGTATGGCTGAATGACTTAGGGAGACTTGCATGGAATAAATAAGATTTGTTTTCTGTGACTGTCATTAGGGTTGGCTGGAAAGGATTATCACAGATGACTCAAAGCAGATGTTCTCCAGTAAACTTCTGAGTGAATTAGTCTGTGTGCCAGTCAGTCTTCACAACATGGGAATAGCACGGGATAATTTGAAATGCTGTATGAATTATTCTTAGCTGATTTCCACAAGCTCCTAAATGTGAGGTCCTGGGGTTGCTTCATGGAAGTTCTTGTTTTGGGGTGGTAGTAATGGATTGCAGTGTCAGTAGACAAAGGCAAATAGAAACTAAACTGATGTGCAAGTTCCTGAGACGCTGACTTATGCAACTGTGTACGCTCAGCCCGTGGCTGAAGAGAGCAAGGTTGCCAAACTCCCTTGTCCCTCTCTGCTTTGTTACTTATCTGCCGTGTAGCCAACAAGTGTTTGTAACAGCAGCTTGCATTAATAAATTGTCACTTCTGGTGCTGCTCAAAGTAGGATGATGTCCTGGTAGGTTTTGTAAGTTCAGCCTCATGTCGGATATATGACAATATATTAATTTTATTAAGCCAGTAGCAGATAGTTTAAGGTAAAGATACTGATGTGCAATACTGATGTGCTGCTGCTATCAAAATAGGTGTCGTCACGTTGGATAGATGATATTTGAGGCATCTTGGGGAGGTCATCTCATTTTCATCATAGTACTTAATTATACCACAAGAAACTTCATAGTCTTTTGTTATTTTGAAATAGGTGAATATGATTTTTATTATAAGCTTCTCTTTACGCAGTTTGAGTGAAGTATTCCAAGTAAGCTGCACAAAACTGCTGGGGAAGGGTGGAAAAACTACTGGGGAAGGGTGGAAAAACTACGGGGGAAGGGTGGAGAAGTTGTTGAACCTGCCTGAATTTTTTATTATTTTTTTAAGAAAACCCCATGCTTCCCTGCATGTCAAAAAGAAGGGGAAAAAAAAAAAAAGAGCTGCTTGCGGCCGATCTCGAGCGTGAGGCTTCGTGCTCCTTGCAGTGATTGCTTCAGTGCGGCAGCGTGTTTTCAATTGGTTACAAATGTGTGAAGAATCTGAAAAGGGTGGTTTGTGTTTTACCAGAAGCTGAGCATCAGCACAGACTCAGGGGTGCAAGGCTGCTTTCCCTGTCTTAATTGGCACCATGTGTCCCTCACAGGAGGGAATGAAGTAACAGCCGCTCAGTCTTGGTGTAGACCTGGTCTCTGGTAGGTGATTTAGCATTCGGGCGTATTTGGGTGTATTGAAACAAAGGCAAAGCTGTTACTGGAAATTCCCTGACCAATTTCATCTTTCTGTAGGTGTGTATGTACACGAGCGTATCGCTTTCCCCATCTTGACCTTTTGATAGACTAATGATCCTTTTTTTTGCCCTCGGTTAATGAATATTTGGGGATTACCAGTAACTGCAGAAATAATTGTACCAATTATTGGTGTGCTCAATACACAGAGCCTTTTTGCACTCTGGTAATTCAAAGTCGAAATTGTGTTGGGAAGGAGAGTATCAAGTTTTGCAAGTCTAAAAATGTTTGTCTGGAAACTCCCTGAATTGAACATTAGCTGTTCTAGTGCTCTGGTTCTAGAAACCAAAAAAAACAAACCCCAACTGATCTTATGTATTAAACTGTGGGGCTAAATCATCCTTCTGAGGCACTGAGGGGCAGTGCAAGGATCAAAACATGGAAGAAAATCAGTGCACCGAAGTGAAATGGTAAGAAGTAAAATATGTCAAAATACGTGCTATTGCCGCTTCAGAGCTTCAGCGGAGTTTACCAGACCTGACCGGATGGTAGGGCTTTAAATATCTGCAGAGGCATCGTAGTTCGGTGAAGAAAAGACCATGACAAATTAATTCATCTTGGGTCTGAAGTTGGTTTTACAACCTGTAAGAGTTGTAATCATTGAAAACCTATATAGACTTTAAAAATAACTTTGCTAAAAGTAAATCTGAAAATCAGGCAAAGTGTTTAGTTGCTGACAGCTTTATCCACATATCTCCAATACTGAGCGATCCTGCCGTGATGGAAAAAAAACCCGCTGTCTAAGCCCAAGGTTTGCTGAAAGGAGGAGACTTCTGATTCTCCTGTTGTACCTCAGTGGAAGGGTAGAATTGACTTGGAAAAGCTACTTCTTACAACCTTGCAGCCTTTTTAAAATGAAGAATCTTGCAGCAGAGTGTGTGGCTGGGAGGGTGGGGCTACCTGGTTATGCTCCTGGTAAGACTTTAGGATCATGTGGGATCCCTGCAGAGGTTCCTGCTCCGAGATTTTTCTCAGATGCAGTTCACGTCCAGTTGAGTCACAAATGAAATTAAGCAATAAATGAGGCTGTGATTCAAGTTTTCCCTTGCTAAGCTTTTAAATCTGTCTCCAAAGGTGAATTAGACATTCCAGGTTTTGGTGCTCTTAACATCAGGCAGTGGCAATACGGATCTCTGTGTAGTCTGGGGTTTCTCATAGAGATTATTATATCACAGTTGTGCTTAACGGCTACAGATTGCGGCAACTGCTTTTGTGTGGAGCGAACTCATGCGTACAGAAGTGTTGCAGTGAAGCCCATCAGAAAACCTGGTACGCGCTTTGTTAATGTAACGTGAATTTCTGCAGTTACTCCTCACCGTCTCGCACATCAGGAAATAGAATTCTCGAATGATTGCAGCTTTTAGGTGGCTGTTTGGGAGCCGGGGCTGTATCCCACGCTGGTCCGTCTGGTGCTGGGTGATGGTCTGAGGACACCTACTGGGCACAGGCTTTGCTTCCTCTCTGCTTTTAAACTTGGAGGAGTTTATACCTGGGTTTTTGGATTCTTGGTCTACGGGAAGCTTCAATATTTTAAACGAAATTGTAGAATGGTGACTTGTGTAAAGCTACAGCAGTGCCAAAGGAATAAATGCAAGATTCCTGATTCGACTCGATGCTCTCCTTGGTCCGCTTAGCACTTAGGTTTCCCGTTAGGCTGTAGGACAGTTAACTGATCCCTTCGCTGGGGGTCTCGGAACTCGGCTAGGAAGTCATGCTGGTTTTATTGCTAATGTTTCCCTTAGTTTTACATAAGAGTGTTTTTGTTACAGCTCCTGCAGTTTCCAACTAGGTCAGCGAAGTGTCCTTGGCCTATTCTTTGAACAATCTGCTCCCTAAAGCCAGACGGTGTGATAGTAATTTTGTGATTAACGCTTCCAGCAATTATAAAGTGGGAGGTCTTAAATTGCATTTGATATCTAAGACCTGTACGCGAAACATGAAGTGACTTTGTCTTCTTGTTGCAGATCCATAACATGGTGGCAGTGCTGGAAGTGATCTCCAGCCTGGAGAAATACCCCATTACCAAAGAGGCACTTGAGGTATGTCACCCTCTAAACATTGATTATTATTTTTGTGTGTGTGTATAAAAGGACTTTCTCTGCCTGTCTCATTTCCATAAGAGCTTTTCTTGAAACAATAGGTTGATTGCAAAGGATTCACAATTCAGATATTATTTTGTCCCTCTCATGCCGCTTCTGACATCTGAATGCACACACAGCGACTCTTTCCGGGTTCAGATCAGTATTCTGTGCAGCATGGTTCCTTGTTTGCGTAGGGCACTAAATTAATCATTACTTGCTACTGATTAATTCTGGTGCATTCAGCAACATCACTCTCCTTGCTGAAGTACTGGTCACCTTTTTAGATGTTTGGTGACCAAGCACTGAAGAATCTGAAATAGGAATATAGCTACTCTGTGTCTATAAAATTAATCTTAAATTCAGTTAAGCAGGCTTCAGTGCCTGATCTAGTTGGTGAGATGAGGTGTGCTAAAAGCTGAGCTGAAGTATCAGGTGGGACTGGCTGGCTGTTCTTAGAGCCCAGTGAAGTTTTTTATGGCTAAAATAAAAAGCTTTTTTCAATCTTTCTATTGAAATTACTGCTATTACTTGCTTTTAACTATTGCTTAACTATAACTTCAGCTGTATTTCAACATAGGTATCACAGCGTGTTGCGTATTTCTCTCACAGTCTGGTCTATGTTTTCCTTTGAAGTGCTTTTCTTAAGTAGGCTAACTTGTGGAACAATTCTTTGTTTTCAAATGTGCTTTGGGAACAATCAAACACTTCACTTCCTTCCGCTTATGAAACCACTTTGGGACACCCTAGGAATGCTTGTTTAAATTGGCCTTTCAAGATACTGGGAGTGAGGGGAGAGGAGAGATGGAAGAGGAAGGTAGGACATAAGTCGCACCCTGGCTAGTCAGGTTTGTGAAATGGAGATTTTTATTGTCGACGTATTACTGTAACAGGCGAAGACTCTGGAATTTTTTTCTCTTGCCTCTTTCTGCGGATCTCACACTTTCATTGTGATAAACACACACCTGCTCTGCCTTGGGTGCTGCATTTCCCCTCGAATCTGAGCTCGTGCCTTTATTCTCAAAGATGCTTGTCGATTAAAGAATTCCTTTCTGATGTTTTTCACAGCTAATGGCTCTGCTGCTTTAGCTGGGGAATAAAGACAGGGTGACTTGAAACCTGCAGTAGGTTTTGTGTTGCGTGGCAGAGCGCTGGACCAACTGGACTAATCCTTTCCAAAGAGATTAATTCAACACTTAAATCTATAGTGGTTTTTAGCAAGGTATTTCTCAGGGTAAGCATTACAAGGCAGAAATGTACCTGAAGGATTTTGTTTAGAATGATACCTGTTTGTAAACCCACTTTTCTTTCTTTATAGGAAACGAGACTTGGGAGGCTTATCAATGAGGTGAGGAAGAAGACGTCCAATGAGGAACTTGCCAAACGTGCCAAGAAATTGTTGCGGAATTGGCAAAAGTTGATAGAACCTGTAACCCCGAATGAACCAGTGCCAAGAGGGTTGCCGAATCCACCTGGGTCAGCAAATGGTGGTGCTCACAACTGCAAACCAGAAGCGCAACTTCCTGCTGTGGCTGGGTCAAAGCCAATCAGCGAATTGAAAAGAAGGAATGATATACAGAAAATAAATTCTCCAAAAACAGAGAAATTGGGAAACCGGAAAAGGAAAGGGGAACACAGGGATGGGCATCAGGGCCCTCCTCCCCCCAAAGTCTCCAAAGCTAGTCATGAAGTATTACAAAACTCTTCACCCCCTCCGACAAATGGAATTGGAGGTAGTCCTGAAAATTTTCCCAGTCCTGTAGACGTAAATCTACATGCAGGGCCTGAAAGCAGCAGGACAGAACTCAGTGAAAATGATAAACACAGTAAGATCCCAGTAAATGCTGTAAAACCTCACACCAGTTCTCCAGGACTTGTAAAACCTTCAAGCACTTCCTCGTTACTAAAGACTGCAGTGCTTCAGCAGCATGATAAGTCGGAAGAAACCACAGGACCGCACCAACCTAAGAGTCCTCGCTGTTCCTCGTTTAGCCCCAGAAACGTTAGGCATGATACTTTTGCTCGGCAGCATACTACGTACTCACCAAAGGATTCAATGCCTAGTCCATCTCAAAGGTCTCAGTTCTTAGATACTGCACAGGTGCCATCACCGCCACCATCCTTGATGCAACCATCGACACCTCCCATGCCAGCAAAAAGACTGGAGTTCCCTCAGCAATCAGTAACTGAGGTATCTCAGCACTGGCAGGAGCAGCAGGTACCTTCTGAAAGCCAGCACAGGCATACAGCAGGGACACTTCAACAGCACACGTCTCCCAGCTGCAAAACCAGCTCCCACCCCGGGGAATCTCTCACGTCACACACGGGCTTTTCACAGGACACTTCAAAAATGGACAGTGATGATGCTGCTTCAGGTTCCGATAGTAAAAAGAAGAAAAGGTACCGACCCAGAGACTATACAGTCAACTTGGATGGGCACGTGACAGAAGGGGGTGTGAAACCTGTGAGATTAAAAGAGAGAAAACTCACTTTTGATCCCATGACAGGACAGATAAAACCTTTAACACAGAAAGATCCTTTGCAGGTAGAAATCCCTGCACTTACTGAGCAGCACAGGACAGAAACGGAAAAGCAGGAGCAAAAACCCAACCTGCAAAGCCCCTTTGAACAAACGAACTGGGAAGAATTATCCAGAAATGAAATCATTCAGTCATATTTAAACAGACAGAGTAGCTTGCTGTCTTCATCAGGAGTACAGACTCCAGGAGCTCACTACTTCATGTCTGAATATTTAAAGCAGGAGGAAAGCACTAGAAAAGAGGCTAGAAAGACTCATGTTCTAGCTCCTAACAGCAAACCTACAGACTTGCCTGGGGTCACCAGAGAGGTCACAAGTGATGACCTTAACAGAATACGTGAACATAACTGGCCAGGCGTGAACGGTTGTTATGACACACAGGGTAACTGGTATGATTGGACACAGTGCATATCTTTAGATCCACATGGGGATGATGGTAGATTGAACATCCTGCCTTACGTCTGCCTAGACTGAGTACAGTTTTGCTAAAAATGCTTTTACATCTGCAGTTAGCAAGAACGGCAGACACTATGCCACTTAACGATGGAGAAAACCTCCTGTCCTGGACAAACAGGCCCAACGAGCAGAGGGTGTGAGGGAGCCGGTTCTTTCCAGCTCTGTCCTTTAAATTCTCCTTTTGTGAAATGCTGCTACCAGTTTACTAACAATTGCAAAGGAAGGCATACGAAGGTTGATAAATTGAGTTCAAAACTCTATAGCGAGCCAGCTATAAAAAAGTGTTAGTCCCCAAGAAGTGAAGAGGATTTCCAGCACTTTCTGAATGCCGGAATCTTATTACAGGCAGGTACAGAGAAAATTGTGGAAGTTACCTTAACAAAATATGCATCTATTTATTTGACTTGATTTGGGTTTTTATTTGGCAGTGAGAGATTCGAGAGACGATGTGCAAAAACTGTAGTTTTATTTGTATCACATCTCTGAACATGATTGCGTTTTTGTTTTTTTTTTAAAGTCATGTGGTACGGAGATTGGGTTTTAAACGGCAGGTGTTGCACTGCAGGCTGGGAGACCAGCTTCAGCTCAACATTCCATAGGCATCCACATATTTTAGTCTGGTTTCAGTTTAAATCCAGTCTCTGAGAAATGCTGCAAAAACTAGATGTTTAACGATATTTTTGATCCCACCACCACCAGCCAAATATTTTTCCTCCTTTTCCCTTCCTGCAAACTTCTAGGAAAAAAAAAAAAAAAACCAAGAAAAAAAAAAAAGAAAAATCACCTTTTCTAGAATCTAAATGTAATGAGGGTGCTACAAGTTTGTAACTGTACTGTGAGGGGGAAAAAGGAAGCCTGTTTGTATGCTGGAAATATACTTGTTACCATTCCTTTAGATATTGTTTGCCTTATGGATATCCATCATAAACGCAATTTGCAAAAACAAAGAGCCTTAGTGAATGTACAGTAACTAGACTTCTGTGTTCTTGGGATGCAGAAGGGAGCAACTTTGCTATTTGGTCCTTTAAGTGGACACATTGTGATATAAATGTGGAAATAAAAAAAATTTGCACAAAACAGTTTGTGAATTATTTATACTTAACTCATGTTTTTTTAAAGTTTGCTCAATTCAGACCAGCTAAGTGATCATCGACACTGAGAATCCGTCGGAGCGGTGTGGTGAAGCTGAATCCCGTCCGACGCTGTCGAATGCAGCTGGCTGTTAGGCACATACAAGATGTCTTCCAAGCACGTTGGTGGTATTCGGTCGCGCAGGTTGGATTATTTTTTAACTCTGGTTGCATCCAGGGTCTGGAGACTGATAACCCAATTGCTGTTAATGTACCTCAACGGCTAAAAAGGTCACAGTTCATCGGGGTTTTTTTCTCAGTAACTTTGTAATATATTATTCCTAATTGTTAAAATGCTTTCTAAAGCAGCCTGGTTACGTACAGGAAGCTAAGAATTTCTATTAACTGTAATTGCTTTAGCATTCGGGACTGGTTGTTTTCTGCAGTCCCCGGTGCTGGGCTTCTCTCCGGGGGGAAGAGGGGAGGGGACACGATACCAAAAATATTTCTAGGTTTAGTGATGTTAACTCTGTTAACCCGTTTGTGCTGGATCTCACTTCTATAGAGAAGAGCCTTGGCAAGAGTTCTGCCTGCGGGAGCAGAGCCGAGCTCTTACATGATTTTAAAAGGGTGTTCCTCGCCAGGTGTATGTTAAGTTGCTTCATTCCCTGGAATACAACGGATGAGGTTTGGTTTATTTTTAAGTCATTCTTGTTCAAACCTACTGCTTTTGTGATCTGGTATTGAAATGTCCGGGTGTCTCGGAAATCTCAACTGATGTCTGTTTGCTTCCGTTTCTGAAATCTGAGGTCTGAGAGTGAAACCAGAATAAGTGGTTACCAAAAAAATGTTTCCAAGTATATTTTCAGTTTACTTCCATTTTGTCCTTCTGCAGTTGATGAGGTCAAGCAGCGTATGTTAGAGTTGGGGAAAGCGACCATCTTGCTGTTCAGAAAGGTAGATTTGATAGTAGAGCGCTAAAAAGCTGGTAATTCTGGAAAATACTGGGAGGTTGTTTATGTAAAAAAATACTGTGCATCTTCTCTCCCCCTGCCCTCTCTCCCTC